GAGGCAGGCCAGGCCCAAGAACGGAACGCAGAACGGTCGGAGGGTGAGGGTAAGAGTTGTGAGGAAGCACGCGCATCTTTTTCCCGGAGGGGGGTTGCTGGCGAAGGTGGAAGGTTGTTGGGGCATTAGCCTGAAAGGGCTGTCAGCGCCCATGTCAGCAAAAGGGAAAAAGTGTGACGGAGTAGAAAACATCCAGCACGAGGCAGATAAAGCCCAGTGGGGATACCAACGAGGGATAGGCGGGCACAACACGCCGACAGACGACTGCAATGGCGACGAGAACATCCACTTGTCGGCCTGACAGGACATCAATTTACGGCAGGAATCGCCAGAAAACGGAGAAGGGGGGCAAGGTCCGGGAACGCCAGGCCGAAAACCGTGCATGGCAACCACGACTTCGCCTTCTTGCCTCGAACATGCAAAAATCGCGGGAAAAAAACGTAATCATTGATGGCCTAGTGCATCACGTCCGAACGGTCGAAAGATGCAAAAAATCGAACTACACCTCTAGCGACAATTCAGGGCTAGCCTTCCTTCGTCCACAACTCGAAGTCCTCCTACACCGAGCCCAACGAACGCCGAAATAACGGCAAAAGCCCATTCGTGACTGATCGGCGAGACAATGACGACGCAGGACTTTACTCATCTCTCCCCTCTCTCACCGATGCAGCCGGCGATGTGTCGTCGAGCCCGAGCCGAGCCTGGTATCCCCTCCACCCCGGCACGTCTCTTGCCCAGGTGTTCACGTAGAAACCCGGGGAACGTCGTCCGGACGCCAACACAATCTCTGATTGGTCGAGGAAACACGTGAAATGAATGTGAGGGCAAACGCAAATAGAAAGGCATAACCGGAGCTTCCGAAATGTTTTTCCTGGCGCAGCCCAACTGCCGAGGAAAACAAAACACAAAAAAAAAACGCGTTGACCACACCCCTGGTGCTTACTCACTCGCCGGCGGTAAACACACCTCTCTTAGGCGGTGGAACAAAAGACATACTTGTTAAAAACACAACGACTGCAGATAGCCCCCGCACTCAAGATATTGGCAGCAAAGGCTGCATGCTCAACACTACACCAAAGCCAACTAACCGAGGGCACCACCTGCGACCTCGGCAGCACCCACAATAAAACCTGTGCAGCGGGCAATTGTAGCCCACAAGAGGACCCAAGCCTCGGCCAACACCAATAGCAGTTCAAAACTGCGGACACAATCTGCATTGTACGCTACCGCCGAGCACCTTCTGCTTCCTCCGCGCGCTCGCCCGGCACCCCCGGCAGCCACCGCAGCTGGTCCACCTCTTGCGGCAGGTCCCACCGCGCGACCACGCTCTTGGGAAACCTCGCATCCATGCAGGCCAGGTGAAGCCCGGCCGCGACGAAGACGTCGTGGGCCGACCGCCGGCCGACGGCGAGCGACCGCACGCTCGGCTCCTCTCCCCTGCCCCCGAACCTCCCTGGCCCCCCGTCCACGATCGACAAGTCGCTGAATCCCGTGAAGTACACCCCGGGGTCCAGCGCCGGCGCCAGCGCCGCCGGCGACGGATTTTCGCGGAGGTCCACCCTGTACGCGCGGTGCCGCCCCGCGACCCACAGCACCCGGGGGTGGCTTCCGTAGTCGAGGGCGACGTCGGCGTTCCTGGCTCGACGCACCTTGGCCGCGAGGCTCGGGCGCTCGGGGGCCCCCGGAGGAGCGACGATCGGGAGGGGCCCCGCGCCGTGCGTGACGGCCCCCCTCTCGGAGTGCCAGCTGAACAGACGGAGCTCCTCGTCGAGGAAGGCGGCGTTCTTCGGGGTGAACGGGGAGCAGGCCACGCAGGTCAGCCTCCTGGAGAAGACCAGCTTCTCGCCTTCCTCGAACCCGTCGAAATCGGATTCCTCCTCCTCCCCCTCCCTGTCATCACCTCCCCTGGCTGCCGGCGCCGCTGCAGCGCTATCCGCCGCGACGGGCAGCCCCGCCGCCACCTTAGCCCGCCGCAGTCTCCTCTCGTAGACGCCGCGCGCGTTGTATCCCCCGAGGTGATCAAGACGGTCCTTAACCTTACAAGCCGTGGCCAGAGTCGCGCTGTAGTCGCACCGCACGAAGACGGTCGGCCGCGCGTTGGCCCTGGGCGCCACGGCCGATATCTGCCGGATCGGACCTGCGTGCAGAGCCAGGCGGTCTTTCAGCTCGATCGCGGCGGAAGCGTCGTTGGACCCCGCGCCAGCCTCCACGTCCGGGCCGCCAGGATCCGCCGTTCCATCAACGCATCCCTTGCCACTGTTTCTGCCGCTTGGGGTAGAGGGTGACCCACCGCGGCAAGCCTGCCGGGGCCGCAGCAAGGCGAGGTGGCTGTTTTCCGGGCCGCTGGCGTGGGCCAGCAACGGCGCCGCTGGGCTCGACAAGCCGAGTTCTTGTCCAGCCGAGAGGTTCTCCAGGCAGGACCCCGGCCACGACAAGTCCGAGCACACCGTGTCGGGCATGTCCCAGGAGCGGGCGGAGCTACGAAGCTTGCTGGAAAAGGAAAGCAAGCGTGAGGGGGGAGGAGTCCAGGGACGGTTGGCTTAGAAACAACGCCCACAAGCAGCACGAGAGAAGCGCCGTGCAACACGCAACCGAAACACAACGAGAAAAACGTCTGCTGTCTCGTGTACGAGCAGTTTTAACACTCACAGCTGAGGCAATCTTTCTTCGGATACCAACGATTTCATGGGTTGGGACAGCAAACTGATCGATCCTCCCCAATACCGCGCATCCCACTTGCGAATTCGGTAGCTTGGACCAGCAGGTTGGCAAGAGCGATGTTTTCCACCGCAGCAGACTACTTACCAACGCGCACACGCTCCGTTGCGAAAAATATTCATATCTTCCTCAGGGGTGCACGACCGAGGAAAACCTAAAGGGTCTTCGATCTGTTGGGAACGACGTATCCATGATTCCAGAACCCACCTTTGCTCGTCGATCAGACCCGCAAGCAGCTCGACAGGCACGCAGATATCTCGCCGGTCTTTCAAGAACGCCGAAGCCATCTTAAACGGCACTTCTTTCTTCTCCCCAATACCCCAGCGACCCTGTCGCGGCCGGCCCAGCGAGGCGTATCCCGCGAAGTTGCGCGACAGCACCACCGGGGCGCCCACGGCCGTCAGACATCGGTCTGTATCGAAACAAAGCAGAGGGTGGTATCAAGAGCAGTCCGCGAACCAATGTTGAGATTAATCGAAATCTGTTGCAGTCGCAGCGGTTATGTGCAGAGCGGCGACCTTTGCCCTGTTTTCGAGACACATGCACGCCGACAAGTCTTGCATTCGTGGAGCGCGCGAGAGGAGGAAAGCTTGGCCGCCCGGCGGGAACCCGTAACCGTTGGACACTACGGTAGACTGCGTAAAAGATTGCCAGTCGTCGCGCGGACCGGAGTCACGGCGCAGTCCGGAGTCATTGCACCCCCGTGGGACCAAACATGACAAGATTAAAAGATTGAACTCAATTTCCGCACAGGGTCCGCAGTCATCGCACAGAGGTGCGATGACTCGCAACCTAGGGTAGTTGAGTGCCATCCATTTCGGAGAAAGTTTTACCCCTGCAGTCATGCCAGTGCCCGCATGTTAGCTCCGGTGTATATGGCATCGTCGCAAACCCACATTTGGAGGCATGAAGGACATGATCCACAGAGGTATTTCCGATGGTACCGAAGTTTCGCACAGGGGTGTGCGTTAAATATCAAACGAAAATGGTTCAATTCGATTTCCGCACAGGGTCCGGAGCCATCGCACGGCCCGTGGTCATCGCGTTCCTGGAAACGTTAAACCGTTAAAAAAACGACCGCACGGGGGTGTGATGACTCGCAACCTTACGGTATACTTGTACGGCTATCCAAAAGTTTCACATGCCGCTGGCACGACTACACTAGAAGCACCGCAAACTAGATGTGCAATGGGTTTATTGGGCATCCCGGCTATCCAAGCGTTTCACATTCGGCGGGCACGACTGTACTTCAAGCACCGCAAGGGACTTCGATCTATTCCCGCAGGCGCGCCACCCACAGCGAACACATTGTAGTCCTACGCCGGCGCAGAGCATGTTCATAGAAGGTGATCTCAGCATATTTAGGGCCTTATTGCGCCCTCGCACGCTCATCTCCGCTGCAGCTGCGCGTCCCGTTCGTGTTTTCACGGCGGTTTCATGGTGGAATTAGCCGAATGTTAGTGCACTCTGGCACATGCACGTAAAACAAGGCGAGTTTCGCATCATATACTTGGTGATTGAAATTGCCGCAGCCGCTAGGCGTGCACCATGAAAGCTCAGTTAGATAGATAGCCCTTGGCGAGTGAAACGAGGCATCTGGTGAATAGCTCTTGTGGTGTCGGGTCGCGCTGGCGTATCCCATACTCTGCGCATAGCTGCTGATTTGGATACATGTCGGCTCTGCGCCAGTGCTCCTGGTGGGTGAGCTATTAAATGGTATCTAGACGCAGTACGTTGCGGGAGATTACCTCTCTGCTGTCGTGCGGCATCCAATTACGGTTAGCTTCCCACCCACCTACAGCGGCAATCCGAAATACCCACATACAACCACGAAGAGAGAGGGTACCCACGACTCCGCAGTTGCATCACAAGGACGCAGCAACAGCAGTAGTGTTGCTGTGGGCAGCGACAAATTCAAAATATCCCGTTGTATATACGGAAGCGCGGAGGCCTTCCACCTCACCAGAGTTGAGCAGGAAGTTGGCATCCCGCCTGAGCTGGAATCCTTCCACGCGATGGATATCCTCCATCTATCACGACGCTCTCCCTCCCTCCTCCCGTATCCACCTATCTGCCAACTTCCCTGGCGGGAGCTGCTGTTATTTAGTTGTGCGATATGTTGCTCGCCGGCATCGGCATCACCTCCGGAGATGTGCGGCGCAATATCGGGGTTTTATGCACCCCGCGCGGGCGTTCTTCGAGAACCTCTCACGTACGTCCGGATTTTTTCGATGGTGTTAGAGGTGTTGTGTGGGCGGGGGAGTGCTTGTCACATTCTCCTAGGTTCACGAAGGGGACGCGTCAACATGGGAGCCTACAAGTACCTGGAGGAGCTCTGGCGGAAGAAGCAGAGCGATGTGCTCCGCTTCGTGCTCCGCGTGCGCGCGTGGGAGTACCGCCAGCTCCCCCGCGTGTGCAAGGTGTCCCACCCCACCCGCACGGACAAGGCCCACCGCCTCGGCTACAAGGCCAAGCAGGTGAGCGTGGAGGCAACGTAGTCACCGAAAGGATGGAGTTTTGCAGTGGCGCTGGGAGGGCGTGCCTGCTGCGTGCCGTTAGGTTGGGGAGCTACTGCTGGTGTGTAGATCTTGTGTGGTGTCGGGCGACCCTTGGGTGCAACTCGATTGAGTCCATCCATAAGCCAGCAGCAGCTTCTCGGTCGGGCGTGTCTCCTCGTGTCCACACCCCATATTCGCGCCCTTGCGGATGTTGCCCAAGATCCGCAACCAAGCACACGCTTGTCAGCGACCGGTGGTCTCTCTTCCTGGCTTTATCGATACATATTCAGTCGAAGGGTGGTTAGCCCTCTCTCTGCTTTACACCAATGCATCCATCGCCGTTCCCTCCTCTGATGTCTTCGTGTCTGGGTGGCCTTCCATCTGCATATTGCAAGGCAAACACAACCAGCAATTCAAAGTACCAAGTAGAGCTCCCTGCATTCGCTCTACGCAGTTTCCTAGAGTTTCAGTTGTTGGGTCGGGTGTTTCTGGACAGCTGAATATTTTCTGGTGCATAATCAGAAGCACTCTTTCTGTCTTCTACCTCCGGGTGGTGAGTGCTGCTCACGAAATGCACTATTTAGTGTACTGCTGTATTGTAGTGTTGGATCGGTCTCCATGTCAGGCGCAGACACGAAGTGTGGCAAGTGCGCACAAGCAGCGCCACGACCACAGCCGATGCAAACGTCTCTCGTTGACCCAGCCATTTTTCTTAATGGCTTCTCTGCCAGGCGACAGCAATAACATGGTAGCAGTCATAAAATTCAATTTAATAATGCTGTTGTAAAAAGATGGCACTGAGCAGTAGACCAGACCGTTGTTACCACCAGGCTGCTATCTTCCGTTTTCCAGTGCATATACACCGAACTGCTGTATAGACTGGCGCCAGAATAGGTGGGACAGACACATTTCGCTGACGGGCGCCCATGCACACCCGCCTTCTCCATGGTCGGTGGCTACACCCCGCCGCCTGCTGCTTGATTAGGCGGGACTTGATCATCTGCTCGATGGGACTCACGATGGATGTTTTTTTTGTCCTCGCACCCGAAAAGTTGTATGTCCCGTCATCTATTATGCACAAAGTCAAACTAGAATCAGTTACCTGGGCCTGGCATTGGGCACATCGCTCTCGTGAGCGAGAACGCTCGTGAATGTGTCCCCCTTACGACTGTCTTATCAGGTCCATTACAAGGCTCTGATTTTGAGCTATGCATACATTTCTCTTGAATATTTTCTCTTGAAACCGTAGCTGCTACTGCTGTACTTGTAGACCAACGGAAGCTGGCCCAATGTCGATGCTTTCCATGTACTCAGCTGGCACGCTGCGGCGAGAGTTATCTGCTTGGCAACGACACCTGTCGTGCGTCCTCACTCTCTTTTTCATTCTGGACTGTCACAATAAGCGTTTGTAGTTGACGCCATTTTCAACCATGCCCTGTGTGTTCGTCACTCTTCCATATGTCCTGTCCATGTTTCTCCCGGGCAATCTCTATGCCGCACTCCTGAGCATGCTTGTCGTTTGTCTCTATATTCTTCCGTGTCCCCTCTCTGTTGCGTCGTATTTCTATTTTTGGCCGTGGCAGGGCTACACGATGGTGCGTGTGGCCGTCCGCCGCGGTGGACGCAAGAGGCCTAACGCCAAGGGTATCGTGTACGGTGAGAAGCAAACCAAACTAGGAGTGCTGTTTAGTAGAACCTGTCTTTGGGGTTTTCGGGCCTGCCTTATCGTTTTGGCAGATCGACCCCGTCCTGCAGTGCCTGCCGATGAGCGTGGGTTAGACACCCGGCAGTCGTTTATTGAAGTACCTGGGGACACGGCCCCACAAAACTCCTTTTGTTGGGGGTTGTTTTCGCTGACGAAGGGTGATGAGGAGTGATTCGTGGCTGGCTGGACGCCGCCATCCAACGGTTTTTGCTTCTGGAAGTGCTGGTGCACATATTCCAGCTATTCCACATCCCGGGAGGTATCCATCCGGTGTTGTTTTTACTATGTACGACACGTGAATGTTGCCAAGTGCTAAGCCTACATATCCACTGCGCACTCGTCGATGGCCTGGCCTATCTGCTCGGGTTGTTCTCGGCACATGTGACGAGGTTGTAGTAGGCATGCCGGCGGTGCTACAGCACCCCTACGTGGGGCATGAGCTACGGAATTGTACGGACAGTTGGATGAATTTGCTCTTCCGTCACTGGCTCTGCAGTTTCACATCGTCTCTTCGGGTTCCCGCCTTTCCCGACACACACAGCCTTTTGGTCATAGTACGAAAAGTAATGGAGACAGCATTACAATACAGGTGGTGGCCCATCCATTTCTATCTGTAGTGAATACACCAATTGGACATATCCCGCCCGGAGCAATGTGTACACGTGCACCCCATTGCCGCCTTGCCGCCTGGCATGGTTCGGCCGGTTGTGTATACTCGACAGTACCACGCTGTTTCGAAAATATTGTAGGGACCATTGGGAGGTTCACATTCTTTACCGAATGGATCTGATATTTTCGACCAGAGCGGTACCCGTGTAGCTCGATGGTGAGATTCAAGCGGGCTGTAATAGATGACACCGCAGCAAACATCGTCAAGCAATATTCTTCTGCCTTTTGTCGCAAGGCGGTTCTTCAGAGGTGTTGGGAGCTTCCCAGCTGGTCAGGAGTTTCCGCTCACTTGGATTGGTGATACACTTGTGCTTTGTCGAATCTGGCAAAAGCTGGATTGACTACCCCTTTGAACGTGTGCATGTATGCATTGACCCGATCGACTCCTGTGCTACGATGATTGTGTCATTTGCGTTCGCACCCTTGGCACACGTCTTTGGCCCTTGTATCGAGATCAGTCTAGAACCTATTTCGTCTGTCGCGTTTTGTCCAAACGTTTCCTCTGCGGCAGACTTATCATCGCTGCCGCCGTTTATCGCCCCGTCCGCTCCTTTTCTCGATCGGCTCTATCAACAGGTAAGCCGAAGCACCACGGTATCAACAAGATCAAGGCCGTGCGCAACTTGAGGTCCGTCGCCGAGGAGCGCGTGGGCGCCAAGTTCACCAACATGCGCGTGCTTAACTCGTACTGGGTCAACCAGGATGCCACCTTCAAGTACTACGAGGTGGGTAGTGAGGGCAGAAGCTCGCTCGTTGTTGGTGTTGTGTTTGTTGTTGTGCGTCCACGCTACAACCTCAGCCCGGCAATCCTTTCACGCCTGGTACGTGAACAAACCTCGTGGAAGGGAATCAGCCGTTATTGATCTCCGAGACCTTTTTGCTTTTTCGTCGGCTAGATTCTCCCCGTCGTCGTCAAACCCCGAGCCTGTCATCGCTCGCGACTCCGTTCGACTTCTGTGCCTCTCTGCCTCTCTCCGTCCTCTTCATAGTCCAGCAACTTCCTGTACAATCGAGTCACGTCGCCAACCGCCCCCGATATCAACGTCATTTCCTCGTGTTTTCTCTCGTCCCGTTCCGCAGGTGATCACCGTGGACCCGTCCCACATGGCCATCCGCAACGACCCGCGCATCCAGTGGATCACCAAGCCGGTGATGAAGCACAGGGAGTGCCGCGGCCTAACCTCCGCCGGCCGCCAACACCGTGGCCTGCGCAAGAAGGGCCACCGCGCCAACAACCTCATCGGCTCCTCCCGCCGCGCCGCCTGGAAGCGCCGCAACACCCTCTCCCTCAAGCGGTACCGCTGATCTGGGAAATAGCGTGGCCCCCGGGCGGGACTGGGGCGGCGAAAAACGGCTTTGGGGGGCTCCGCGGTATCAGCCATTGGCGTGGTTGGGTTCCTTTGGTGGTGGCGGGCGCAAAGTGCAAGGAAGGGCCGTCGTGGCAGGCAGCTGCTGCGTGGGTCGCTTGATGTTGCGTTTTTCCGGCTGGAGAAGACTTTTGACGCTTTCCTCTGAAGTACTCTTGCGTTTTTCCTCTGGGCCCTAAGCCCCCCGTGTCTCAGGGCGTGTAGTGGCGCCGGTGACAAATATTCGTGAACTTGGAGAACAAAAAATTGAAAAACATTATTGGAGGAACCTCGCGAAGCGGGCGCGTGTCCTTCTCGACTACGTGGGAAGCGTGGCTAGCATGGAGCTCGCCGTCTTTGTTTGGTTTCGTTCCTCCGCGATGCCAAAAGTTGGTAGGCGCTGCTCTTGACATGAGAAGCTGCAAGGCTTGTTGGTTCTAGTGGCTACTCGTGGCCGAGCTTGCACATGTTGACCGCAACGCGCTCACCCCCCGGTGTACGTAGTACTGGGGAGTGGATGGCCAGCTGCAGAGCAGCGCAGGCTTCGTGTGTCAGCGCGGAGCTGGTGCTGCTCTCAACTGCTGCATTGCGTGTTGCCACCAGCTCTCTCCCCAAACACCACTGCCTGCCACCACGACTAACGCTCGAGTGCACATCTTGCGCGACGGCAGTTGTTTTTCTTAATCAAATGTGAACCTGAGCTTGATAAAAAAACCATCAAACCGCAGGCCACAAGCACACAAGTGCGACACACACACCCTGCTGTATGTAGCACACATCGAGTTCAGCAGAGGAGGGAAAACCTTGCATTCGGGTTGCGGTGGCAGCGTGCCTCTGATCATGTTACCGTGCAAACTCCGCCGAACCCTGTTGTTGCCAACCAACGCATGTATGTACATATGATCTTGAAGGTGGTGCGCACGGTCCGTCGACGGAATGTGCAGAGTGAAGAACTAATGGCACGTCAAGAGTGACGTCAATCCTCTTGCTCAAGAACCACTCTGTATCCGAATCGTAGCGACAGGAGCTCTCTCGTTCACTATACCTTAGCTACCGAAAACAGCGCCAGCGGAGCACTGCAGGTACGTCAAACGCGCCCACACAGAGCAAATTCTTTCCATCCCATCGGCATGTGCCGTGTTCCAGCTACCGATGATTCTGAAAGTCTCATCGTTCGATATCCGTGGGTGGAACTTTCATTCGCATCCCCACCCCTGGCCCGACCCGGTCTCAAATGCTGATCTCGGGCTACAGTGCAAATCTCGTGGCCCCTCAAGTATGGTTCGGTAGGGAATCGCAAACCACGACCCCTCCCCGAGTTTGAGCAGCTTGCACGTCCTGTGGCCGACACGACTCGGCCTTGACTGTTCCTTGTCTGTTTCGCCATGGGAACGGCCGGTTGAACAGCGAAAGAAAGAGGGTCCTGCGTGCTGCGCGCCACAACCTTTTTTTTTTTTTTGTGATTTTCTTCCTGTGAGCGACCGTTGTACACAAGCAGTTGCTGCTGTTGTGCTCGGAATATGCTGCAAAGGTCGTAAGGTCATCGTCTCTGTCGCTTGGGCTGCACGCTGTGCTCGCCTAGGAGATGTGCATCCCCAATTTGTTTTCTCTGTGTCGATATCCATGAAGAAAAGCAACGGCAGCACGGTTGAAGATACAGACAAAACAACCGACGGTCCGCCTTACTCGTTTTTTTTTTTTTTTTTCTTAATATGACACCACGAAGCCATCTCCATCATAGAAAAGAGTCTGAGACAAATTAGCAATGGATTCATTTTTTATTTTCTTGATGCGTATGAATCGGTGGTAAAGATACCCGGTCGCCCCAGTGGTCTAGTTGATATCCTCGAAACCTTTTAGAGGTCAGGTCAGGGGTTCGAATCCCGGCGTAAGCGAGCTTTTCTTGCAAAGTGAGTTTTTCTCTCGCTTTCGCTTCTGGCCTAGTGGATAGCGCTAGTTCGTGTGTACACAGAGGGAAGAGAGTGCTGAACTCTTCTCGCATTAAAAATCGAAGGCAAAGGAGGAGGGGAGGGTAGAGAGGGGCTCTTCTGTGTGACTACGGGTTGGAGTAAACGGCACTAGTGCTGTGAGCGCTGATTTGAAGTGAAGACAAAAAAAAAAAAAAAACATCGTATTGCTGCCTTACCTTGGTCTGTCTGCTGCGTAGTCGTAATTTGAGCGATAAGGTAGATGGCAGCACAACAATCTTATTTACGTAGTGAGGTATGACGATAACCAACAAACAACCAATCAATCTGCTCGTTCGTGCAGTGGTGCGCATCTATCGCGGACGTCAAGCGTATTTAGATAACAATAGTTCGTCCGTCGTGCTAGATGTAGTCATTCATGTTCTTTCTAGTTCTCACTTCTTCCTACCACACACAAGAGATAGTCCACAGTTCGCAAACGGCGATTGATTATATTTGTGGCTTGTGTTGTTTGTTGCTGCTGAGCCCACATTGGATAGTATCGCCGTTCGATACACATATATCATGTCTGACAGCCGCGGTGGGCCAGAGAGACGAGAGTGAGTGTCTTCTCGAGAGTTAATGCCTTGTCTTCTCTCCGCTCTCTTGTTTTTTTAGTCTACCTCCACTACCTCTCTCGCCTTTCGGCGGTGGGGTCCCAACAACATCGAACGCCAACCGCAGTTAGTTGTTTTGCTTCTTTCTGACTGAGTAAGAGGCCATACCCGTGCATCCGGCTGCTGCATGTGAAGCGATGGGCGCTGCCTCTTTATGTCAAGCAATGAACTTGGGCCCTACCTAATGTTTGCTACATATGCAGTGCTGTGTGAGAGCTTCCAGCGGTCCAGAGCGAGCAGCGACGGTGGTTTTCTGTGCTCTCTTTTGCCTCCTCCCCGAAGCCTGTCGCGTCTACTGGCTCTTTTGGTTCTCGCTTCTTTCTTCTTGTATTTTTCATGCTTTTTGTTTTTTGGGGTCCTCCGGCTCCTGTTTTGTGTGTGTGCTCATCGGGCGTCCCGCTGAAAAAATCGAAAGCTTCAGACAGGCAACGCGTATCGTCGCGTTGCCATACACAATATTGGAGGCGCCTCTCTGAAATGCGGGGCAAACAAGTTGGAATCGAAGACGACAGCCAACCAACCAGAAGAGACCCGTTGCAGAAGCCAGCGTTGTATTAACAGCGGACAACACACGTACACACGCTTCCCTCACGAACACTCGCACAAAATGATCAACCTTCACCAAAAACGCAAAAAAGAGTGTGGATAGACACTAGGAACGCAAAAACGCGTAGCGCAGCTATATACAAACGCGGAAAATCACATCGACTACTCGTACTGCTGTATGACCGTTTCTTCCTCCTTCGTCGTTCCTTTCCTCCTCCTATTATAATAGACCTCTTGGGATGTGTGGCTCACCCTCCAAGCCTCCAAGGGACCCACCCGCCCACAGCAAGCCCACACGGCGTATCGGCGGTTGGAACACATGTCCCACTCCTACCTCTCACGGATAACAAGGTCTGTGGCAACAAAACGTCCGCCGTCAACAAAAAACAGGGCCCACGTCCCCCCCCTCCCCCGCGAACACCTAATGCAACCGCGATGCCCCCGGGACAGTTTGAACCTGAAACTGGCCCCCGCCCCAGACCACCCCCGCTCCCGCGCCCTCCCCGACAACCCCTGCGGGCGATTGCGGAACTCCGATCCCTGCTTGGGCAACGCTTGCCCCGCCGCCGCACCGCAGTCCGATCGAGGCTGCGGACTGGGCCGCGGCAATGGAGGTGGCTGCCGCTCCTGCTGCTGAAGTTTCGGACCTCTGGCGCTCCACGACGCCGTGACGCCTTAAGCGGTCGAACGTGGTCAAGTTTTGGAGAGTCGCCGTCGCGCTGGTCCCGAAGGAGGGGATAACCGATTGTTGCTGTTGCTGTTGCTGCTGCGGTAGTCCTGCGACACCAGCCGCCGCGGTTCCGAGTGCGTTCGGTTCGCCAAAGGTGGCCAAATGCCGCTGCTGCTGGTAATGCAGCTGCTGCTGCTGTTGCTGCTGTTGCTGCTGCTGTCCTCCCGCCACCTCAGTGGCAGGGAAGTGCAGACCACCCTGTGGCGGCTGAGGCAACCCCTCTCCTCGTTGTTGTTGCTGCTGCTGCTGCTGCTGCTGCTCAAGTCGAGGACGTTTATCCCAAGCCGACAGTGCGGACGAGGTTCCTAGGCTATCGTCCCCCTGCAGAACAGAACGGGATCAACAATCGATCGGAAAAAAAAGGCGTACGTGAATGCGGTCGCATGATGACCGAAATAACGATAACATGGCTGCAGACATGAAGAGGGGAGGGTGGGATGAGTTTGGACCTCAGAAGGGACCGGGGAAGGTGTGGGAGATGGAAGGGTGGAGGGAATGTAGGGAGAAAAGATAAAGGTTGGTCTCGAACAGCGGCAAAAGAGGTGTCGAGACGAAATCAAAATTGTTGCGGTCTGTAGATGGTCTATCAAGGGTGTCTGGTGGTGAATGAGATGCTGTCGCAGGCGTGAGAAGCGTGGCATCGAGGGTTGCAATCTCAGAACCTGTTCGGAGCTACATTGCGCTCAATCAGTTGCCAAATCGTCATGGCTCTTTCAAAGTATCAACCATTGCTAGTACCCCGAATTTTTCCATTCTATAGCGTAAGTGCGACTCACCATACCCTTTCGCCGGCTACACAGAGGTTTGTGCTGTAGCATTTTGGCAGAAAAAAATTACCTAGGACACAGCAAGTGGAGAAGGATGGAAACCAACACCAGTAACGAATACACCCAAAGCTCAAGACTCCAAACAGAGAGGGCTTCAACAACAAGTACCAATCAACGACCAAAATCGACATCAGCGACGATCGACCTCTATACGCCCTGCCTCCAACAACGTTCCCGTGGACTTCGGTATGCATGTCATTCATTGCACATGCCCTACTTTGCTTGTAGAGCGATATTCACAGCTCCATCCCGCCACACCCGGAAGAGCGACAACGCCGAAAAAGGGCGGTCTTAGAAAAAATGTCGTGCGGAGCTGTTGCTTGGTTGCAATCGGTCAGTTTCGCACCTTTTTGGATCCGGAGCAAATGAGCTGTGACTGAAAGTCGATGACGAGGTGCACTGTTTTCTTGCACTCTGATGGTACTCCGCGCGTCAAAAACCTTCGCAAGAAAACAAGTGCATCACTACATACGCAACAATAAAAATCGCCAAGAAAACGACCGTTCCATGTAGCACAAAGCGAGCAAATGACACCTCTCCCCCCAACGAGCTTTGGCAGAAAACAATCGGAGCGGACGGACGGACGCACCTGTATGCGCATCGCCTCCAACGTTGTCTGCACCGCTTCCGTGTCCATGCTCTCGCCGAATCCCCGCTTGCGTTTTGCCGCCCCGTGCCCGCCACCCTTGCCGTCTGCCGTCCCCCCTAGCCTATGTGACTCGAACTGTACACCGAACAATGAGCCTCCCGCCAAAGAGCGTCGGACCTGCCGCGCATGTACGATTACGCATCCAACATGGGGTCTACACATGTAAGCGGTGGTGCATACAGTATTCAAAAAAGCTTGAAAAGCTTTGCACGGAACAGGTGGGATAAAACAAAAGGCAAGCGCGCGTGTCGTCACAGCAAGCAGGTGCGAGAAGAAGATTTGAGAGGGGCAAACCACCAAAAGGAGGGTTCGATTGAGGCAAAAAAAATATCGAAAGCAAAACACAAACCATGTGAGGAGACCAAATCAAGACGCAGCTGCCGGCCGCAAAGCTTTGGTTCGATATCAGCCAAGGTGAAAAACAAGCGCCACGAAATACTTCGCAGCCGGTAACGAGGGGTTGGTGGCAGCCAATATGTTCCAAAGATAAATACGGAGACTGACCAAAAGAGGAGACAAAACCAAGACACAGCTGCTGGGCGAAACCCTTGCACCATATCAGCCATGGCAAAATTAAGAAACCGCCGGGAAAAACTCGCAGCCAGAACGAGGAGGCGCACCTGCTCTCGGAACAGGTCCGGGTTGCTCGAAAGCGCCGCGGCCGCAGGCTTGTTCACCGCGTAGTGCTCCGTGGGCTCTATGAACATGAGCTGGAGCGCGAAGACGACGGTGTTGATGCTGAGCACGGGTCGCCAGTCCTTGGTGAGGATCGGCAGCGACACGAGCCCCGTGTGGAGGTCGATGTTCGGGTGCCACGCCCGGCTGGTGCACACCACGGTCGGAGCTGATTTGTAGAGGGCACGCAAAACGGCGCAGCAAAGACAACGGAACAAGAACAGAATAAAAAAAAGTAGGAGTAAAAAATAATAGACAAGCCGACCGGAAGAGAAAGAACAAAGAACAGAAAAACGGAAAAAATCACAAGAAGAGGTGAGACGAGCGCGGAAGAAGCTAGAGGCAGGGGGGCTGACATCGGCTTGTCGGGGTAGGGCAGGATTCAGGAAGTGGTGCCCTTCGCTTGTGAGAGGAGATGCTGATTCGACGATTTCTTTCGTGAGGTACCCTCGAGAGGTGCATTCCATCCGCACGCTCTGTTTGTCCACTACATGCAGCTGCAAAAAATCCCAACAGTTGCAACGTAAGATACGGCACGCTACGTATTTATCGAGCACTTTCGCGCACGATTCAGCAACGCTTGTCGATAAATCGTGACAAGGCGACGAACACTTTTTTCGTAATACGAACAGCAGCAGCATAGCGTGCACAAGTTTAATAGCACTGCTGTCGCCAGCCAGAACATCCCACACAGTTCCTGCCTGACTCGAGAGCGAGGTGGCCTCCGAACCGCCCTTACCGAGAGCCAACTCTACATTGTCCGAGGCCGTTCTAGACCTTATCGCCCGAGGGCAACCAAGTCGGTAGTGGGCCACCAATCTCAAGGCAGACACGACCAACACTGCAATAAATAGCTCCAATACAGGACTCACCGTGAAAAGGATAGCTAGGAGGGATCGTGAGAATAAAGTAAAAGGTGGCCCCTTCGAACAAGCCTGCGGTCATAGAAACCCCGACCTGAAAAGAAAAGGAGAAAACGTCACGAGAGGAACGGGGGCACGCGTGGAGGGTATCAAAATGACACAGACTTCGATATTCCCCTATGTAAAAAAAAAACCGTTGGTATATCTGGGCATGTCGCGGTACGTTGTATCCACCACGGTAGTCTAACTGATGCTTTTCGCCCTTCTCACGTACCTTGAGCTTGAGCAAATTTCGAGTGCCATCCGGGAAGTCGATGCTAGTCGATGCGTGCGTAGCGTTCAGGCGATGTTGCGACAGCTGAAGGCGAGGCCAAGAGACACATGCCGAAGAAGGGGTGCAGGCAGGAGGAGAAGCGAGAGACAGGGGGCGGGCGGAAGGGCGGGGGCGGGGGGGAGCGGAATGAGATATCGCCCCACACAGGACCAAATCAAGACCAGTCTTTCCGCATCGAAAATCCCGCATGGAATGAGGCGGAGTAGCACCCTACTGGCGCCCATGACCATTCACACACAAAAACTCGTTTCCTGCTGCCATGAAGCCCAGGAAGAGGAGGTGGTGCTCAACAGAGGGCAGCACAGCTAGCAGTATGTCACGGTATGACCAAAACTCGGCAAGCCGGAACATGGATCAAATGGATAGAGCTCAACAAAGGTCAGCACCGTTAGCAGTGTCACGGTACGACCAAAACTCGGCAAGCCGGAACTTGGCTCAATTGGATAGCATACTTTGTTCGGAGATGCTGGCCATGTCAACGGCCGGACAGGACACACAACGCAGATTCAGCTAGCCTTCCCATCTTCCCATTGGTCAGCGCATCAACCCGCTCTAAATGCACGTATAGGTATTTTACCCTGCACGGCGGTCGTGCAAATTTCGCTCCACCCCCTCTACCCTTGAAGCTTGTTGTACTGCTGTATACAACCGGAAGGGGGGGGGGTTAAAGTAGCAGTAGAGCCTGCGTGGAGGAGCCGCAAACGACCGTGGTGCTGGAAAACAAAAGGCACACGGCCGCAGTCCTGCAGCCACCTCCGCTGTACCTACCGTCTAGTGCCACCCCGCGCGTCGGTCGGAGCACATGGCGAGTTTTTACGGAGGTCATGCATTCAGGCGCTAAATCGGGGGGGGGGGGAGGGGTTGGGGCACGAGGAAGCAACGACATCCGCTGCCGCTTCGAAGATTCTAACCTCGCTCCCTACAAAGCAGGATCGATCGACCCTCGTGCCATGTGCCATTTGGAGCAGGGCGTGTACCCGGTTTGAAAGTGGCAACAGGGTCAAATTTCTGATTCTCTCGCTCTTTGTTCGCACAAGAGCTGCAGAAATAGAGCGCGCACTTGTGCGTGCAAATTGGACCGAAGAACAGAGAGATACGGGAGAGTAGGTGGTGGAAACGCATCGGCACACACGCAAGCGTACTGTAGACCCTCTCCCGCGCTGCTGTGAAGGCTGTGTCCGCGTGGTGTGCCGACACAAAAATGGTTGTCGTTCTTACTTTTGTCTCTGCAAGTAGAAATGCACATTGCACAGAAGTCGAATGACCTTACCACCAACCAGCCCGAAGAAAGCAATCGACAGTCTCAGTAAGTTCATCCAGAGAACTGCGACGCGACGGTAGCGGAATGGATGCCCCGAAAATAACTCTGTCCCAAACATCCCCACTGCGGGCCAAGTTGTGGTACCCGCTCCCCCCGGTAAACGTGTTTCTCGTCGTACCTCCGCGATGTCTTTCTTCACTCGGAGGGCCGCCAGGTTCGCCTTCGTGTACATCTTTTCGTGGAAGCGCCCTTCTCCTTCCTCGCGTCTCCGGAGGAGAACGTGCAAGAGGTAGAGCAGGGCGAGAGATGAAGGCGTGAAGTGGGTGTGCTTGAAAGGGGGCAAGGTGCGTGTGTTGAGTTGGTGTGTGATGTCGTTTCGACGCCGACGGCGGAAAGACCCCTGGTACCCCTCCCCGAGCGAGCGGCGCATTGATACATCTGCGAGCCCCCCCCGGATCCCTGCGCGGGCACAGAGCGCGAGGGAGCCCCAGTCCATTGCACAGCAGTTAGGGCATCCTTCCGACACACGCAGCGAGAGCGAGAGGAGAGGGATGTCCACCACTCGGAGATTTCGCTGTGATGATCTTCTCAAGTTCAACAACGTGAACTTGGACGTCTTGACTGAGACGGTGAGCAAGCAACTTGCGGGAGCTGTGCGAGCCCGCAGGTACCGCTGGGATGCGCTCGTGTGTACATAGTGCACGCGTGCACACCATCGAATTGTCATCACGGCCTGCTGTAGGCGTAGAGTAGTACATCAATTGAGTAGTATGCATATGCGCACGTTCCATTCTGACATAAGAACACAAGGTTCTAGTACTTGCAGTGTTTGCACTAGTGTGGGCGGGTGCTTATCTGTGCTTCCTACACACCAGTCCCGGATACTATGCATACATAATATCTACACAGATCACCACTGCCATGATCGAAAATACATCCAGAAGAGGTCGGCGGTTGACGGCGACAATTCATCGCTATGGTGTAGCTCTGCACTCTGCACCCATGAGTTTACAAACTACATAGTCTAGACCTTGTCTCTTGCAGTACCGATGCGCATAGTTTTCCGCAGCGACTCTACATGTACCGTAATTGTGCGTGTTATCTCACCTTGTGTCACCGTTTTTCTATATCGTTTTTCTCCACAACTAGGAGGGTGCGAACACCAACTATTACCTCTCAGGAAAGCCCTCGACGAGATGTTTCCAAAACCACCCTTTTTGGAGGTGATACGTCCCTGGTTGTGGAGAAATACACTATAGAAAAACGCTTGACACGGGGGTGCGATAACACGCACAATTACGGTATGCGTATGTGTCTCACGGCCGCGTCTCCAACAGCATAGGTATGCCAAGGATGATCCGAACTGGGGGTAGTTTGCCGCAAGACGTGTGTTGTTTAGGGTGCCGGTAACTTGGCGGGCTCGCGCCGAGGAGAAATTATGTTGTGATTAATCGTCTCCACTCACACACACCAGCAGGCCCTGATGAGGGGGCGACGCCGAATCGAATATACCTACTGTAGCACATCCCTGAAAGTCCATTCTACGTACCACACAAATTCCCGGTATTCCGCTCTACCTCATGCCATGGGAACATTCCGTACCATCCACTTGGCATTGCTACAAGTGTATCAATCACGGCATTGCATACCTCATGCGTTCGCGGGCAACTGGTTAAGATGACAGGTGAACTACGTAAGGCTGCTGCACCCGCTCTCGACGGAAGCCATATGTGTGATCCGCGTCGCCGCCGCCTTTGCTGCTGTTGCACTTACACCAACCGCACTTTCTCAGCCAAGTATTGATACGTCCAGTGCTTTTCCTATGCTGATCAACCTTTACGAGATGGTAAGAATTCGGCTGTATCCAATCATCCACTCAAAACGATGTGTTCTGTACCACGCGGCCGGCGTGCATTCGTTGTAACACAACCATGGGTGTTTCCCCCGTCTCCCCGGCCTCCCCTTTGGTCGCCGAACGGAATCCAGTACAACATGCCCTTCTACCTGCAGTACCTGACGACCTGGCCGGAATACTTCCTCATCAAGGAGTCGCCGGACGGCACCCCCATGGGATACAGTGAGTTGATCCGCGGCGTCCCCGCATGGCGCGTCCACGATATTCCGTGTGGTGTCGCATGATTCGGCGGTGCCCCCTCAAGCAGTCGCGGTCGCGGGTCAGGCACGACGGTAGCTGTGGGCTTCGTAAGAGGGTTCGGTGCAAGTAACTACAAGTCAGGGCTGGGCTCACTCACAACGGCTGTGATTGAACGTTTTGTGAACGGGTACAACGCTCGGGACTAGTAGTAGCCCACTACGGTGTCCGAGGAGTGACTGGGGCACCTGCGTGCATCAGTGCAGGTTGCATCACGTGCTGCACTTCTTGCGCGCCGTAACAACGTACCGAATTTTTCCGCGTCACCCCTTGCTTCATCACATGGTGCCTCCAAGGAAACAGTGCTTTGTTCTCGTGTGTCCGGTCAGTGAGACCATGTCACACCCTTGCCCCCGCTGTGGGAAAAAGGCGTGCGTGTTCTTCACCCGCCCCATGATATACCAATTCATTTACCAATCAGCTCACAACAGTCCTGTCTTAGAAAAATGCCCGTGCCTCACTGCCTCGGTACGGAAGGTCACACGTAGGCTCTGCGTAGGTGAACGATGTGGCGGAGACCGGGCGTGAAGGCTCGTTTAGATCAGGGTACACCTCGGGAAATTTCCGCCGTTTTTTTCCCGCCGTGGGGGGCGGTCCCGGTACTGGCGGTAATTACCGCCACATTCGGCGGTACCGGAAACCGCCGAAGGCGGTACCGCCGAAAAACGAAATACCGCCTACCGCCTAAAAAGTACCGCCATATTGCAGTACCGCCGAAGAAGTACCGCCAAAAAACGAAGTACCGGGAACCGCCTAAAAAGAACCGCCATATTGCAGTACCGCCAAAAAAGTACCGCCACATTGAAGTACCGCCCCGCCTGAATCCGCCTAAAAACTAGTACCGAGGTGTACCCTGGTTTAGATAGCGGCAGCGATACATGTCTCGATTTTGATGCCGCTATTGTAGGGCATCCAACGGAGCACTGTCAGGCGTCTCAAGTTACGGCCTACCCCCACTTACCCCTCGCTGTACCTTCTTTCGACCTTGTTTCGGGGGGGCGTCAAAAGTCATGGGCAAAGCGGAAGGGCAGAAGGAGTTGTGGCACGGGCACGTAACCGCGGTAACGGTGGCACCGGAGTATCGCCGCCTGGGGGTGGCCAAGCAGCTCATGGACAGCCTCGAAACGGTAAGCACGCCATGGTTGTTGTTGTTATCGGTGGTGGGGGTGGTGGGGGTGGGGGTGATGATGCTGCTGCTGGTGTCGCTACTGATGATGTTGTAACTGAGACGGCCTATCAGTTGATGTTGATGCTGATACCGCTGCTGTTGTTGTTGCTATTGTTGCTGCTTGTTGTCCTTTGTGTCAGTACCTGCCTCTGCCGGCGTTGTCATCGTTGCCGTCGCGGCCGCTCTACAAGTAGCTGCCCTCGAAGCTAAATAGCGTTACTGTCGCCCGCCGTCGTCCTCCCAACATCGAGCATCCTTTGCCCTCCGCGACACAGAACACCTGGCCCTGTTGTTAAATCCTGAATCATCGAGCAATGCGCTTCTTTCCTTGGCGACCCGCGTACGTTCTTTTTTTGTCTCACGGGGCGTGTAACAGGTCTCCGAGAATGTGTACAACGCCTTCTTCGTAGATCTGTTTGTGCGGGTCTCCAACACTCTGGCGATAAACATGTACAACGCTTTCGGGTACTCGGTGTATCGAAGAGTCCTCGGGTACTACTCCGGGGAGGAGGATGCCTTTGGTGAGACATTGGAACAGGTCAACGTTGCCGGCAATAGCATCGATTCGTGTATGTAGTCGCAGGGAGAGTTGATGGCACGACTCTCCTTTCCCCGGCGGAAGTTGGTGTGCTTCTTCTGCGGCGAAAATATCCTATCGCACTTTCTCAAAACTCTGTTTGGTTTCCAGTAAATAAATATTTCCTTCACGAGGTGCTGCTGTGTTGAGGATATCTGCATCAGAGTGATCAGGGTCTAGGTTGCTGTCTATTAGACGCAACTGCTGGAGAAGCCCCAACGCCGTGCTTTGTTCGTACCCTCTCGAAGCACATGCATGTTCGGTGCAAGTCTTATAATCCCAAACACGTGCACGTTTCAAAGGTGGGAAAAACTGCAATTGGGAGAGTCGTGTTGACTGCTAAGCGCGCCAGCTACCCAAAGACTGTACATGAAGATCGAGTGCGTGGCAACGTACGAGTATATCGAAAGATTGCTAGCTTCTGCAGATGGAGAAACCGCCACCAAACTCATGATCAGTGCATGATATCGACCCCCTCCGGCTATAATCGAATCCCCCCCAACCTTTCTGTTGTCTCTCGTGGTACAGTAGACCAGGTAACAAAACGCCTCACAGCTGCCGTAGCGACTTGTTGGCATTGCTTTGATTCCAAGGGACTCGTTCCACTAAAAAAAAAAGACAAAAAGCTTCTGACTGTCCCCGTTCCAACGCCCCCCTGTACCCCTCCCAAAACCCGCTCCCACCAGACATGAGAAAAGCTCTCCCGCGAGATACGGACAAAAAATCGGTGGTACCGCTGTCCCATCCCATCATGCCGGAGGATCTGGAGTGGTGACTATCTTGCCTGCTCGGCGCGCTGCTGGCTGCTGCGCTTCTTTACGTGCGGCAGTGACCGCTCCCTAGTGGCAGCAGCTCCACGGGGTGTTGGCTGTTCCGAGGGACAGGGGTGTCGCCGCCCAGAACCAGGGTGTAATCGTCCTTTGCCATGGGCGGCCGCACTCATCAGCAGCTGTATGCATGTGTAGCATGCGGCAGCGTCGCCGTTCACGAGCGGGCCTTTTTACAAAGCATGGTTAGGTCTTCGAAGTCGGGTGATTCGCCTCGGCACCCAACCATGAAATCTTGGTCTTTAGATATTGCTCAGATGCTTCGTAGTCAAAGGGAAGGGATGAAAGTTGAATGGATACGATAGCCGTTGTGTCCAACTCTCTTCTTCTCGTTGCCCTCCTCTGTTGTCTTTACATAGTTTGTCCCGCATTGAGTGTTTTTGTGTTTTCTGTTTTCCTCTTGGTAGTGTTTGCGTCGTCGTGCCTCTCTCCAAACGGGAAATTTATTTTCGGAATAAACACGCCAAACCACGACGACCACCTCGAGACACGGCAGAGCGAAGGCTTCGGAGCACCAGAAATAAGCGATGATTGAAAGAAGTCCCACCACGTGTAGGGATCATCGCATGGTCCCTTTGGGCGCTTGGTTAGTACACCGCAGTGGTCACACGCGAGATGGTCAGTACGAAGGTGGGAGATACGTGGCTCTCGTTCTTCTCCCGCTCCGAAGCGTTTTATTTTATTTTTATTGCCGTATTCACATGACGATTTGCCCTCCAAGTGAGTGAACAATACCTCACATCTATTGCTGCCGTGATCTGCGGTATCGTCTATGCCCCCTTGCGTTTGCCCTTCCCACCATCCTCGGTCGGGATATGGTCTGCTCGGAAAGTTACCCCCAAGGTTCAGAGACGTGTAACACCGTTGTCGAATTGGCTCCGCGGAGAACGTGTGTCGTGAGGTTAGGGTTTGACGTGTTTCTTCATCAAAAGCAACAAAAGGTGGCGCTAGCGCGGAAACCTCTTGCGCTGTAGGAAAACATCCCCTTCGTGCGCTCAGCCGTGGAAGGAAATAAATGCAAATGCACCCTTTTGTTGCGATTTTCTCACACATGCCGTGTCCACCGTTTGTCCGACGGTGCTCTCGAGACACTATATCTAGGAAGAGCGAAATCAGAAGTTTGAACCCCGTTCGGCTTTCCATCCGACCCGCGCGTAAACGCTCCTCACCACCGATAGCGAAAATCAACAGCAGCAGGGACGAACAGGCGGAGGGCCACATACTCATGAACACTAACGAGCACACGCACACCGGCCGCCGGTAGCACCAACTTCAACGCCGTACAGCACCACCACCGAACGGTGCGTACAACGCGCAGGGGCTCGGTCCATCCTATCTGGCATTCCAATGTAGACTACGGCATGTTCCGTCCCATCTCTACCTACACAGCACGAGCAGTATCAAACACAAATGTTTTTCTCCAAACGTCTCAACGTGATGTGCTCGAGTTAGTAAGGTGGCCGTGCCACGTGGTGTTCTCGGAAGCCGTCTGCAAATTCTCAATTGAACGAACCACATGTACAGTTAGCGCCCGCACACGAGAATCCGGCGGTCAAGAAATTGATATAGCCTCGAAAAACTCGAAATCGAAGAACGTGAGCACCATTTGTGAGCCCGGTAACGAATCCCTACTCTAAAACCTAGCCTCCATATATATATCTGCAATTCGTAGCATAACCCTAGGAGCTAAGGATCCCAACCCTCGGCAAAAAAGAAGGGTGTCTTCAGTGCGGGCGCTAGCTGTGTCTCTCACCAAGAGGCCGTTAATGCTGCGGCCCGCTCTATCCAACAAATCAACATGGAGCGCGAGGGTTTGTTCATAAAATGGACATCAACAATTCGGAGAAAAATAGAAACGCCGCACGGGAAACGCCCTTTCTTTGCAACGTACACGAGGTCACAATTAATTGGAGGGAAGAAACGCATCCGTGTTTGACATTGGTATCCTTGCATTGACATCGTCGCACTCCTATTCCACAAGCTCCGGTGAACTGGCTCCGGCACGCAGCAGCACTTGCAAACGTATACTTATAACGAAAGTACTTACCACATCAACAGCAGCACCAAAACGTTTTTGAAAAAAGATACATTTAAGCGTACAATATTTCAACAACACACTACTCACGATACTGCATGCCACGGGCAAATGGCGCATCATCAACTTCACCTCTATTTACGTTCTGTCGGTGATCACTACATACTGTCAGGCATCCCATGGGGATAGGTTTCCACGACCAGAGAACCGCACGCCTGCCGAAACTCGGGTTCTCACGGCCGCCGTACTGTGGTATGCTTCCCTCAAATCCGACGATACCTGCAGGCCGCTGAAGGACGGGTACAGCCTTTTTTTGTGGACAAAGACATGGCCGATGGCCACCCTCATTGCCTCCAAAAACAGATGGTTTGTTCCTCCTGCAAAGCCACCAGGGCAAAAAATCGCAGACAAACGTACGATTTGAATCGAGACGTCATGCATTTATCGTGTTTCGTGCTTGCTCTATGAAGACGGTATAACACGGTGACCATCGCGCCAGCATGTGGAACCCTCATGCATTGTATTCGTTTAGAAGCACGATGACCACTAGACCACCAGTCAGCGCTGACTGGTGGTCTAGTGGTCATCTTGATTCTCAACAAAAATTCATGTTACTGTCCGGGGTTCAAATCTCCCTTCGAGCATAAAATTACTTTGCGCCCGATATATGGGAAGAAAAAAGTCCGAGGAAATAGTTTTGCAAAATTTAGCCGATGACCTGCTTGTATCGATCTGGCAAGCACAGCGCTGATCACAGGGATGGCAACCCTGGGGGGTCGTGTTCGTGGCTGCAAAACCAGACCGGACGCGGGCATTAACTTTTGTTTGAGAAGCACAACGAACCGGCAGACCT